TTTGAGTGCCGTGATTATAGGAACTTGTGCAGTGTCTCTCAACCATTCACAATGTGCAGAATTACCTAACTGTTTTAAAATTAATTTTTAAATGTACTTTTTTGTCCAAAGGGCATTTTGACTTGCATCAGCCACTATGTATGTCAAACGTGCCAGCATCAGTGGATCCCTGACTTGAAGGACCTCCTTAGGAGTGGATATTGGCCTGCCTCTGTCACCAGTTCCACACTTTATACACTGGACCTCCTGAGCTCCTTTCAGGAACTCAAGGTCATCTCTCCGGGATTCTCCAGACAAGCCTTCGCAAAGCTGCTGGAGTATCGCACTAAGATTGGAGGAAGAGTAAGTGTAATTGTTATTACCATATTATAAAATGTCTTTCCATTATCATTAGGGGTGGAATGGTTCGCGGAAAAAAATCGAACCGTACAGTTCTCCACACACGGTTCGGCACACGCTAGGACCACGGTTCAACTTAAATCTGACAATGCATCTGTATGGTTTGCTATAAATAACACGTAAAACAAACAGGGTTCGGCTAATATATGTTTCTGTTGATGGATGCGCATTCTGGCTTCCCAATACATTACAACAAGTTACTATGGTTACTTACATACCCTGAAAGTAACCTCGGATTTTGGAACCGAAAACTGAGGTTATCCGCTCGCTTGTCCTCAAACATACCCGGATATGTCACATAACCTGCTTTTTGGAATACCCCCCTGAACAGCACACGTTGATATCTGTGTTTAAACTAAACTCATGTAAGCTTTGCCAGTTTAAACATTTAAGAGCCAGAGGACGCGAGCTCGCGCACGCAGTGAGAAGATTTGTGCGTGCACTCATCCGAAGCACGCAAACCCGTGCCTCGGAACGCGTGCAAATATTGAGCTTTCTCTGAAGTATTGTGTTTAAATGGACAAATTCACACAAAAATTATGTCAAAATGCCCGTCTTGGTAAGTGTCCTATAGCAGACATAGCCGGCTGAACGCACTGTATCAGTGCACTAGATCAGTGCATTCTCTTAAAGTGACAACACTTTCTTAATATTAATTAGAGCAACAAAGAAATCACTCACTGCTCTTGATTGAATAGCACATACCGAACCATACCGAAACAGTGACTCTAAAACCATGATACGAACCGAACCGTGAGTAAGTTGAACCGTTCCACCCCTAATTATCAGACATTGTTACATATACTATTTCATTCTATATATCTTCCAGTCTGGACAAATCAACGGCGATACACTACAGCACAGCTTCTTAGAGTTTTCATATGCTTCATTTGAGGAAGACCAGCTCTGCTATGGTGCTCCTTTCACCTGCCCAGCCTGCATGCCGGAAATGTTGGCTGTTTCAGCCGATGGAAACAGAAAGCTATATCGCTTTCGCAGAGACACAAGGTGGTCTTTTGTTTCAGTCTTTTTATTGATTTACTTTATTTATTTAATGGATGTATTTCCTATTTTTCTTTCTTCCTCAGTTCTGATGATCATTCCTTTTTTGAGGGGCTCTTTGTGGCTGAAGACATTGCGGTGTCTAGATTTGTGGAAACCATACAGAAAGCAGTGAGAAATGCAAGTTTCAATCATAACTTGACTGAAAAGTTGTCACAAAAAGAACCATATATGTC